AGAAAATTTATCCCTGCTCACAGTTTATTCGCAGAGCCTGCATGTAAACAAAAATTAGAATCCCTGGCTCTGTGAACCGAGTACTGAGGAAGTACAAAGAAGGGAGCTGGTGATGCTGTTTGGGGTCAAGAAATGCTTCATAGAAAAAGTGGTCTACCAGCAGAGCAAAACTGCCTCTCTTGTAAGATGTAGAACTGGATACTCCATTTTTCTGACATATTATTATTATTATTATTATTATTATTATTACTATTATAGCAAGCTCAATAGCAAGGAAAAGGATAGTCGAGATGTTTTAGAGAGAATGAATGTGTCTTCTTTTCCATCATATTTGCTCTGATAATCAGTTTGTGGTGTAGCTAGTAGTTATGAGAAGCATCTGCAGATTTAAACTCTCTCTTCCGTATGTGCTAATCCTCTTAGAAGTGCCTACCTAGGAGGGGATGAGTTGAAAAATATACGGTAAGATGAAGGAATGGGTATGGTGAAAAGAACTTGGAATTTGGAAGCAGCAGACTGGGATTCCAGGACCAGGTTTTGTTTTCTAGTGGTATGATACTCGATAAATAACAATAGGTCTGAGCTTCCATTTCCTTGTTCTAACATTGTTTTATTTGTTGTTGATTGCTGTCGAGTCAGTTCTGGCTCACGGCAACCCCAAGTGTGCAGAGTTGAACTACTCTAGGATTTTTAAGGCTGTGCCCTTTCAGAAGCAGATCGCCAAACCCGTCTTCCAAAGCGCCTCTGGGGTTGTCTGAACCACTAACCTTTGGGCTAGTAGTGGGGCACTTAACCTGCCCCACCCAGTTCACCTGCTCTAACATAGGCATGATAATATTACCTAACTCTCAGGGGCTTGGTAGGGATGAAATGCTTTAGTAAAAGTTATTTCATAAGCTATTTAGGGCTATGAAAATGCTAATTGTTACTAGCTTTGTATTTTCAAAGATTGCTAATACTACCAACACTATTTAAACAATGTTCGCTTGTATTTTTTACAGCTATCATTTTTCTTATGCTTGTATTATTTTCTTTCTTGACGATTACCAGAACCAGATTTAGGAATACATTAACTGAAGGTCATAATCTCTCTGCTCTGCTTATGAGCTGAAACTGAAATATTATAATATGTCTAGGCAAGAATTAAATTTTGAACCTGCCATGCCGTGAAACACAGGTTTTGAGAAATTATTAAAATTTTAACATCTCCAAATTATAACAGGAATAACAATTATTCTAATGATGAGAAATATAAGACATTTGTTATGGCTGAAACATAATTATAGAAGTGTGAAATGTATAATATTGACATATTTAACATAAAATACAAATATTGCAATTTCCCAATAAGCTACCCAAGAAATTTACAATATTAAGTGAGGCATAAAACATTCATAAAAGTAGAGTATTTTTCAAACATAGCATCTTAGAGGCTCCGAAATGGGTTACTCTGACTTCTTAACCTTGATAAATGTTTTACCATTTTCATAGATTTAAAAATATACAGATATATGTATACACACACACACACACAATAGGCATAGTAGATTGAGACAGTTGTGACTATTGATCTAGAAAAATAATTTTGAAAATGTGTCATGTTTGGTAAAGTAGAGGTCAGCAAAAAAGAGGAAGACCCTCAACAAGATGGATTGACACAGTGGCTGCAACAGTGGGCTCAAACATAGCAACGATTGTGAGGATGGTGCAGGACTGGGCAGTGTTTCGTTCTATTGTACATAGGGTTACTATGAGTCGGAGCCAACTCAATGGCATCTAATAACGACAACAACAAGTATCTAGCCAAACATTATTATGCTCATTTGGCTCTGTGAATCAGAGCAGAAAATCATCCAGCCTCTTTTCATTACTCTAGAATGTTAAAAAGATCATAACTTTGATATGAGGAAAGCATACTGTAAATCACCAGTTGTAACTGAAACCCAGTGCGACAGTTCCTCTTTGTGCTTGTGTCCCAGATTTGCACTGGTAACTGTTGTAATTGATGCACCATACATTATTCTTTAAGGAATTCAGAAATAGCATACATAATTCTTATTCAAGACGAAAATATTGTATATAGAGGCTCATTAGAAATCAAATATATTGGGTTGTTGTTGTTGTGTGCTATCGAGTCAATTCCAGCTCATAGCAACCGTATAGGACAGGGAAGAACTGGCTTAAAGGGTTTCCAAGCCTGGAAGTCTTCATGGAAGAAGACTGCCACATCTTTCTCCCACAGAGCAGCTGGTGGGTTCGAACTACTGACCTTTCAGTTAGCAGCCAAGTGCTTAACCACTGTGCAACCAAGGCTCCTTAATATATTGGATGGAATCTGCAATTTAGGATGATAATCTAATACTAAAAACCAAAAAAACCAAACCTGTTGCCATTGAGTCGATCCCAACCCATAGTGACCCTATAGGACAGAGTAGAATTGCCCCATAGGGTTAAGAAGGAGTGGCTGGTAGATTTGAACTGCTCAGCTTCTGGTTAGCAGCTGTAGCTGTTAACCACTGTGCCCCTAGGGCTCCATTTTACATGAAGCTGTGTTACAAATTTAACTTATAAATGTCTGTTTGGCAAACCCAACCCACCAAACGTTTGGGGACAGAAATATGGGGAAACACACACCCTGGCTGGCTTCTCTGTGATACAGGGGAGAGCTTTGGACGGGAGGAAAGCAATGCTGAGTTTACAATAGATAATCCTGCCTACCTTGACTGAAACTTGTTGCACTTAAATTCTAATACTTTGGTGTTACTTTTATTGGGTACTAACCTGACAGCTTTACCCCTCAGGCAATGATATCTCTTACCAGATAACAAGGTTAGGATGGGATGTGGGGTAGGAAAGGTTCCAGCTCTTCTCTTACAAAATGGACTCTCCCTCCTCACATCAATTAATATGGTCTACCATAAAAGAAAAGAAGGAGAAAGAAGTAGCAAGAACGAAAGGAAAAGAAAAGAGCGTAAAATAGAAAGGAGGGAGTGAAGAAAGAATCAAGTTAAAAGGCCTTTGAAGAGGCTAAAAGAGAAGACAGTGAGTGCCTTGTCAAGAAAACCAAGAGGAGATGGAATGACCTTTCACTTTTAATTAATTATGGCACTCAGATGATTTGTCAGGGAAATTGCTTCTCTACCAAAGACAATGGCTAGGCTTGGGAAGTTCTCATCATTTTATTCTTTCACCTAATACTTTAGGAAAATTCATGTGATTTCAAGTCTTCCTAGAAAATATCTGAACTTCTTTTGACAGTTAGTGAAAATCGGGTAGCTCAGAGTGGACCTATCCCCGACGGTCAGGAATCTGACATTTTAGGTCACCATGTATAGCTGTCACCGTGGATATTAGCATAGTCTTATCTATCTTAAGTTATCAAAGTGGGCAGAGGAATTCTTTCTCCACCCTTTCCTGTTCAATACATTCCTCTTTGGGTGTCAGGTTCCTCGGATCCTGCTTTTTTCTTTCTGCCATGTTTCTCTTGTTTCATATAGAACTGTTAACAAACTCCAACTCATTTTTGGTTCTAAGTTGCATTCTTGTGAAAGAGTTTTATAATTAAGAACTTTCCAGTTCTTACACAGCCTGCCCCAGAAGGCTACTCACTGTAACTGCATTCAATTTCTATTGCTACCTGTCGTTTTAATGGCTTAGTGACGTTTTTAATAACACTAGCTGTAAAAAGAAGATTGCCAAATAAAATGGACCACACAGTTAAGGTACTTTTTTGAAGGTTGATTGATTGTGTATATTTAATAGCTGTCTGCCAATGACAGCAAACATCCAAATGAAAAATGAAAATTGTAGTCAGCTATACAGACGCTTTATCTATGAAGCCAAACATCTGGAGATTCAAAAACATCTGGATGACTGACTGGACGTTTCACTTTTCCTCCGCTGTTTTGGCATCATGCAGACGTAGACCAAATCACTTTTGCCTTTGTTAGTAGCAGTGATAAACTTCAGTTAGAATCCTGCTGTTAAGCAACGTCAGGATTAAAACAAATAAAATCACTCTGAAAATTAGTAGCTGTTTTTTTTTTTAAACTTGAAATTGTATTTAATCTATTGAAACACATTCTTATACATGGATCAGATTACTTTAACACTGAAGTCTTTGAACTGCAACCTGCAAATGGAGCTGCATCATTTAAAATAATGGTACATAAAGTAATTCTTAAACATTAAGAAGCAATCTGTTACATCGGATTGAAACACAGATTAATATGTGCATGTTACTTGAATTTTGAAAGATAAAATTTAGAAAAGAGTTAACAAATTTTAAACCAATGGTTTGGCTTTGTATGTTAATAATTCCCAACAAATATAAATGACTAAAACACCAAAGGGTAGAACCCAATGGCATACAAAAATCGTGAAAGAAAACAATTACTGCTTTTTCTTTGGTAAACATTTAGTAGGTACAGATACTCTTCTAAGCACTTTAGAACACGTTTAATTATAATGATACTCCTATGAGGTAGTTAGGATTATTGTCTCCATTTTTCAGGTGAGCAAACTGAAATATGGCGAGATTAGGAAACTTGCTCAAAGACACACAGCTAACAAGTGGCTGTGACAAGCTCCCAACCCAGGCAGGCTGTCTTTGAAGTCTAGGCTTTTAACCACTACTCTACAGGCTGCCTAACTAAACTAAATGTTTAAAAATAATTTACCAGCAATGACCAATCCTTTCTAGGCTTCCAGCAAAATTACAGCTGACAATAACTTTGTTCCAGAAATGACTTATTTGCTTCCCCAGAATACAAAGCCGCAAGCTGTTGTATGCAATAATTCTTTGCGACTAACAGCTGCTCTGCTTTGTGCAACTTCCCACTAGCATGCCAAAATGTGCTTAACAATTAATATTAAGGAGGGAAGTTATTTTGGGTAACATAGCATTTGACAAGCTTTGGTAAATAAAGAGTTGCCAAATAGCTAAAATATTTAACACTTGGCTAAAATGTTTCTCTTTTCTGTGCTGACTCTTTTAAAAGGTGTAAACTGTGAATTGGAAGTTGATGAATGTTGGTCGCATCCCTGTCTAAATGGTGCAACTTGTCAGGACGCTCTGGGGGGTTATGTCTGTGCCTGTGCCCCTGGATTCCTAGGTGACCACTGTGAGCTCAACATGGATGAATGTGCCAGTCAGCCGTGCCTCCATGGTGGGCTCTGCGTGGACGGAGACAACAGGTATGTTCTCTTCCACATTTGGGAATTGGCTTAGACAGAACTCACTGACCAAGAACATTGTCTCACTCTGGTGAATTAGGAGATCTCACAGTCTCAAGATTTTATACTCTAAATCAAGAAAAATTGTAACATTGTTCAGATTATAGCCAAAAATGCATTCTTTGGAGGTCATCTGTCCCCAAAATAAGGATTGTCTAGGTCACTTATCAGGGGTCCCTGGGTGGTGCAAACAGTTAAGCACTTGCTATGACCAGAAGGTTGGAGGCTTGAGTTCACCCAGACGGGTCTTGGAAGAAAGGCCTGGTGATCTGCCTCCGAAAGGTCATAGCCATAAAAACCCTATGGAGTAGGTCTACTCTGACACACATGGGGTCGCCATGAGTAGGAATCGACTTGAGGGCAACTAGCTTTATGGTTTTTCCTTTAGTAGTTTAGAACTGCTTTTATTACCCAAAAGTCCCAGACTTTCAATTCTATGAAATAAACCTGTTACAGATAGGGAAGGTACAAAAACAAAGCTAGAGATTATTCTGTGTGCAAACATATGATTGTCTCTATATAGCAAGCATGTAAATCAAGTGGTAAAAAGTAAATCCTTTAGGAATTTTATATAGTGTTGGCAAGGGCACTAATATTGAATTTCCAGGTATCTGGAGAATTGGGTGAATACTTTTGAGAAAGCAGAAGAAGGATGAGAAGTAGACATCTGATTCTTTGGTGTTTCAGCCAAAAACAACAATAATAAATTACACTTCAATATGATGGATATAATACATTTGGGTAATGGTAGTCGAGTTCACATAAAATATGTTGAAAAGAACTTTCCAGTACTTATTTAAACCACAAATACTGAATTCTCAAATGCATAACGATTTTTAACAGCATTAGTACTTAACATTATCTTCTTAAGATGGACATTAATGTTTCCATATTACAAATAAGGAGTCTAAACTTCAGGCTAGTTAGGTGTCTCCCACAAGGTCACACAGTTAATTCTTTGCAAAAGAAAGAACTAGAATCTGCTTTTATTTAGTAAGCGAGGCATAATTTGTCTCAAAGCTGTTTTTAAAAGTGAATCAAACTCAAAAAGAGAACAATAAAAGGCATGTGTGCTTCAAACATATTCAGCAAAGTAACAGAATTTTAAATAGAGCAATGCAGTTGTTCGTTTCTTTTGTAAACTACAAAACATGACTTGTAACCACAATCCAGGTTCTGCTTCTGACTTTTACTTATACCTAAATCATGCTCCAGTGACATGCGGTAATTCCTGGAAGCAGGTAACTGGCCACCGCAAAGACAGACAAAATCAGAATGGAAGTTTTCACACTAGAATTCTAAAAGAAAAGGAGGCACCCCTAGTCATAGTTTACTGTCTCCAGAAAATCTCTGGACAGAAATTACCCAAAGTTTTTGACTCCTGTGGAAATGCAAACAGACCAAGGCCATAACCTTGTCAGCTTTTATGTTCCTTACTTGAATGTGACGTGAATAATGTGTCCGTTTTACCCTTTGTTGTTTTTAGGTGCCCTCAAGTCGATTCTGACTCACAGTGACCCCATGTGGCAGAGTAGAACTGCCCATAGGGTTTTCTTGGCTGTAATCTTCACGGCAAGAGTCTTGATGGTGCAGTGGTTAAAGCACTTGGCTGCTAACCGAAAAATCGGCAGTGGTCCCGGGAGAAAGATGTGGCAGTCTAGTTCCATAAAGATGTAGAGCCTTGGAAACCCTAGGGGGCAATTCTACTCTGTCCACAAGGTCGCTATGAGTCGGAATCAACTCCAGGGCAGCAGGTTTGGTTTAGTTAATCTTTACAGGAGCAGATCTCCAGGTCTTTCTCCACCGGAGCAGCTGGGTGGGTTTGAACCACTGATGTTTTGGTTAGGAGCCAAGTGTTTAACCGTTGCGCCACCAGGGCTCCTTTATTTTACCCTTATCTCTCTTATTACCTGCTATTCTACTTTTATTTAACTTTGGGAAGAGAATAATCACAAGGACACAAATATGACCAGACTGTTTTCCCACAACAAAAAATTAACATATTCACTATGAAGCATTTGGAAACAGGAGAAACTAAGCATAAAAAAATTTCTTGTAGACCAAAGGAATTATGCAAATGGCCTTTAATTTTATGAACTGAGTTTCCCCTAGTCAGGAAGCGGAGCCCTGGTGGCACAGTGGTTAAGAGCTGGCTGCAAACCAAAAGATAAGTAGTTCGAATTCACCAGCCCCTCCTTGGAAACCCTGTGGGGCAGTTCTCCTCTCCTAAAGGGTCGCTATGAGTCGGAATCGATTTATGGCAATGGGTTTGGTTGGATTTTAGTCAGAAAGCACCTTGAGTACAAGGCTTTTGTCTCTAATGTCTTATAAACAGTAAGTTTTTAGTAAGTATTTTTAATCAAACAAATGAATTAGTGACTAGAGGATTTCTAACTAGCAAGATGTACAAAAAGTATAGTCACTCATTACATTTGGCTAATATTTCAGATGTTAATGAAGTTCTAATATCTGTGTGGAGCAATAGGTTAAGCGCTCAACTACTTATGGAAAGGTTGGCCATTTGAACACACCCAGAACTGCTGTGGAAGAAAGGCCTGGTGATCTGCTCCTGAAAGGTCACAATCTTGACAACCCTGTGGAGCACATTCTGCTCTGTACACACAGGGTCACCATGAGTTGGAATGGACTCAATGGCAACTGGTTTGGTTTTGGAATATCCGTGCTCAGTGGTAAATACACATAGAGTTATGGTGAACATAATTGTTTTATCTTTTCTCCCAGCCTCTTGTTTTAGTAGTCTCTAGGTGGCACAAATGGTTACGTACTGGTGTGTTGTAGGGTTGCTATGAGCCAGAATCAACTCAATGGCAATGGGTTTTGGGTGGCACAAACAGTTAAGTGATTGACTACTAACTGAAAGCTTGGTGGTTCAAACCCCCTCAGAGATACCTTGGAAGACAGGTCTGGCGATCTGCTTCTGAAAGGTCACACCCTTGAAAATCCTATAAAGCAGTTCTACTCTGTACACATGGAGTCGCCGTGAGTCGGTATCCACTCAATGGCACCTAACAATGACGACAGACCCTTGTTTTACCAAAACTAAGCTAAACTGAGTATGCCCATCTATGTTTTTACAATACTAAAACCTTGAGGAGATCTCATCTAAATTAAAAGCCCCCTCTCAATGAAGTCAACAGCTTCCGCCATCACATGTTTATCTGACTGGGGCTGTCAGATAATCCCAGTAAATCGACAAATGATCAGAAATACAATGCTAAAATATTTCTGTGATCTAAAAATAAGAGAAAATCTTAAGTCACAATTGATTTAATAAGATCTTTTCCTGATTTTTTTCATAATTTATTGTTTCATTGTTCATAAAGAGTTTTATTAATGGGCCCTGTAAATAAGAGAATACCACAATGGTAGAGATCATTCTCTACTGTCTTCAAAAATATTAACAATTTTGTTTAGTACTACTTAATAGAAATTTATTCAGTGCCTTCTGATGCTTGAGATAGAGAGTTCTGTTCTTTCATGCACTTTTAATTATCACAATAACCCTCTGACATGAGTACTATTATCTTCAATTTATGGATGAGGAAACTGAAGTAAACAATCATGGCTTCCAGATCATCTTACATGAACCAAAAAAACCCAAACCCGTTGCGTTTGAGTCGATTCCGACTCATAACGACCCTGTAGAACAGAGTAGAACTGCTCCATAGGGTTTCCAAGGAGTGGATGGTGGATTCAAGCTGCTGACCTTTTGGTTAGCAGCCATAGCTCTTAACCATTGTGCCACCAGGGCTCCATTTTACATGAAGCTGTATTACAAATTTAAAAAACAGATAAATGTTCTCTAATGATAGGTCAATAACTTTCCCCATGAGATATTCATCTGACTGGAACTGCCAGATAATCCCAGTAAATCTACAAATGATCAGAAAAATTCAATGTTAAAATATTCCTGTGATAAGACATTATCTAATAAGACATTAATATGAAGCTCGTGATGCTTTCAGGCCTACAGAGGTAATTCCCAGGGTTTCGATATAAATATTAAGACTGTACCATGGATCTCAGGTTGATGGACAGGTAAAGAGGACAGAGAAAAGATAATTTATCTCAATATGACCAAGAGTTGACATGAGAATTTCATTTTACTCTCCAGATACAGCTGTAACTGCATGAGTAATGGATTCACAGGGACGCACTGTGAGACCTTGATGCCTCTGTGTTGGTCAGAGCCCTGTCATAATAATGCTACATGTGAGAACAGTGCTGACAATTACACTTGTCACTGCTGGCCTGGTAAGTAACAAAATACCTTCCACCATTTTTTTTTCTCTTAGAATAGAAACAAATCTTTTGTATAAAAGAGAAACTAAAATTTACTGTTGTTAAAGGTTTAAAACCAACTTTCTTCCAGTTATCATTGTTGAATTGTGTTTTTCAATGTTCATACACACCTACTGCTATACTAAGCATTATCTAAAGTAGGTTACCAACCTGCCCAATGAGCAGAACCCTCTGGAGGAAAGAAAGGGGGAAAACCAATGGAATGATAGAATTCAGCATCTTCACAGAGAAAAATTCACTGGCAGCTGCTTCCTTTGCCTCTAAAATATTCTCTTAGACACCTGGAATGTACAGAAACCCATGGAAAAAGGTTGAAATCTAGGAGCTTGTCTTACAATT